GTGGAGACAGAGCAGTTGGACCAGGACCAGCAAGCCCCAGCAATTAACAGTCCCCAGGCCAGGGCAGAGAATCTGTTTTACAAGATGGCTAATACCGGAGACTAAGACTTTGCAGGTGGAAGGACTCTAATACCTCCTGAGTCTGGGTGGTGAGTAGTAACCCCCACCAAGTGAGAGTTCAACAGAAGGGACCCCTTTTGGGTTTTTGCCCTGAAAGGAGATGGCTATACATTAATTGTAGGACTTGTCCAGAGGCAAGCCTCTGGTTTCCTTAACTTCCTGAGCTAACCATTATTTAAGAATTAGAGAATTAAGAAAAATATTTTTTCCTATCTTTTGTTCCCTCCCTAAGCACGTGGTAAGAAAAGGCTCAGCTTGAATTCAGAGGCCAATGGGGTTATCACTTTTGGCTAAAACCCAAACTGACCCAGTACTGAGAAAGAGCTGTGAGTGAGTGGGGAACCTTACCCTCACTGGGGGGCTGATTCACCCACATGTTTGAACACAAGGCCAGAAGAAAATTCCCATAATCCATGGGGGTTGAACCATCGGTACACAGAAACTTCAGTCCCCTTCCCTCCTGACCTAAACCAGGTCCTTGATCTTGAGTTGTCCTGGTTAATCCTAAACAGAGGGCAGCCTTATCAATCTCCAGAGTAATTAAAATAAAAGACAGTTTGCCTTTCCGTAGCATAGGGCTCGTATGACCATGAGCAGGTCACTGAACTTCTCTGAACTCATTTTCCTCACCTGACAGATGGAGATATCTATATATCTCCTTATCATAGGGTAAATAAGATAGTGAAAACTACTACCATGTGCCTGGTTCTGATAAAAGGAGGAGAAACATCTGTTCCCTAGCTCTGCGTTTCTGTAAGGGGAGATTTCTGCTACAGTGTTGGTTTTAGCACACGTAATCATACATGTGATTACTGTAGGGGTGATTAAACCACAGACACTGGGCCCACCTCTGTAGCTTCTGACTCAGTAAATCTGAAGTGAAGCATAAGAATTTGCATTTCTAACAACTTCTCAGGTGATGCTGATATTGCTACTGGTCAAAAGGACCACGTTTTGGGGGAACCACTGCTCTAGAATCATGTTCTTTGCCTCTCTCCTCATCTTTCCCTTGCTCCTCTCATGGAGGAGGAATGATTTATTCTGTGTTTGGAAGACGGGGTCAACATGTACCCCATCTGGCCTCTCCTTTTGGGTCTGCCTGTAGGGTTGATGAATCCTGGTCATCTGTCTCCTTGGAGTAAGGGTTGGTCTTTATGGAGCAGGGCTGTGGTTGATCAGTTCTGCAGGTACCTTTAATTCTGGGGTAAAACACAAGGATGCCCAGGTTGGACACCCATTAAATTCTCAATCTAGAATTGTAACATAGTAAAACTTGCATTTTGACTTTTATATATTTGCCTCCTATACTTTTTTTTTTTCCCTCGGTTGATTCTGAATTAAAGAACATAAGAAAGGACTACTTTACGTTGTCCCCCTGGGGGACAATAATAATTATTACTTCCTTAATATTAGAAACCTAAATTCAACCAGTATTGATGAAATCCTCAGGAATAATGATATTGTGGGGATGTGAAGGATGAACACATACTGCCCGTAGGCTTGCAAATGTCCCTGTGGTTCTCCACTGAAACAAGCATTGGCACCTGTCTGCCAGGCCTAGTGTCAAGTGGCATTAGACATTATCTCCAAGGAGCTTCCACCCAGACAGAGGAGTGTCATGACCGCTGGCACCTGTATCACAGGTGGAGCTCACACGCTCGAGGGCTTTGAGAATCCAGAGAGGGAGAGGGAAGTGTTGCAGCTGAAGGGACAGGGGAGGTTTGGAGTTGGCACTGCATGAGGCCAGGGCCTGGCAGACAGGAAAGCAGAGAAGTCGGAAGGAGCAAAGCGGGAGCAGGGAAGGTAAGCTTGGAGCATGGGCATCGAGAGTGGAGTCCATACCTACCGGCCGTGGGCTGGAACATGGAGAATCTCACTCCTCAGAAAGGGTTTTGGAGGAGCCTGTCTTGGACACCTGGATGATCTCCACGGAGGTGATGCCCTTGCCGGCCACGCGGTGTCTGGTGCGCAGCTTGTTCAGGGCGGTCTCTGCCATGCCAGCCCGCTCCTCAGCGTCGTCCAGCTCATGCACCGTCTTTCTGTAGCGAGCCAAGGTCTGGTTGGCCTGCTCCTCCTGTGGCAAAAGCACGGTGGAAAATAGGGCGTAAACCTGGGTTCTCCTGGTTAAATGTGCATCGTTATGGGTTGGTTCCACATGGACACGTGAGAGTCCAGTCTTTCAGGACTTTTAGCTGATTCTTTTTTGGCCTTGACATCCATATTTCTAAATAAACTGCTGTGTTGATGCTTCTATAATTTGTAGTTTTAGCCATTAGCTACTGGTGCCCCACTATGAAAGGTGTGGATTTAGCATTTTTCCCCAGCCCCCACTGCACAGCTCCCATCCCCTTATCTTCCCAGTAGAATCACAGTGCTATTTCGGTTAGAACCATATGAACTGTAAGCCTGATCTTTATCGAGCCATTTGGGAAAGGCGCTGGTTGTGTGGGTGGCTGATGGATTCAGCGTAGTAGCCCCAGAACTGGCAGCAAACAATGGCAGCGTCCAAGTTCTATGTCAAGGTGGGGGTGGGGGCGTGCTGGTGCCGGTAGGCAGACGTATGGTATAGGGTTGAGGCTTGAAGCCATCATTTGCTAACCATTTGACTTTGATTTTGACATTTGCTAACATGACATAAATATCCCACTCTGGGCTATGTCCTCACCTGTGAAACAGACTAAGAAGATCAGTGTTCCTGCCTTGTATTCGGAGGATTAAAGAAGGGAAGGGTCTTGTGTTTAACGGTCTGAGCAGGAGAGAGAAGTTATCCTGGCAGAGGCCACCAGGGGCAGTGGAAGCAGGACAAAGGCAGCAAAGACTTTCCCTGGTTTTAGATCACACCTTACAGGTGTTCTTGGGGGATATTTTCATTTTCTACGTGTTCTTATCTCCAGTGTGTGGTGTCCAGTCCACCTATGAAGTACCATGGGCACGAAGCTCACAGGGGCCATCTTTTGGCAGGGCTCGATTCCTTTCCTGTGGTTAATCCCAACCAGGTGCTGAGACCTGGACTGGGAAGGGAGGGCACGTTAGGGACACTTGTTAGGGCGAGCACCCACCGCCTCTTCAATCTGCCGCTTGTAGATCTTCAGCTTGTTCTGCAGCTTCTCCACCAGCTCCTGCATGCGCTGGTTGGTCTTGTGGTCCTCCTCCGTCTGGAAGACCAGCTCTTTGAGGCGGCGCTCATTCTTCCGCAGCGTCTTCACTGTTTCCACGTGCTGTTTCTGCTCACCGTCCAGCTCTGTCTCTAGTTCCTTGATCTGAGGGAGGAAGAGAGGGACATGGCTGTGAGAACACAGGGTCTTGAACTTGAGAGCTCAGTGGCCTTGAGTGGGGGCATCATGGTGACAATGTCCATCCACCTCTTCCCCACAGGAGAGCAGGCAAACCCTGGACAGGAGGGTCACACAGGTTCTGCCCCTCATGGGTCTGCTGTGGTAGTCAGATGGGTACCTTTCCCTGAGACTCACATTTCCTTCTCTGGGAAGTGGGGGAGGGAGGGGCCTGACAGGGTCGCCCCTCTAGCTCTGACACCCCATGGGTGAAGACCAAGGCTGGTTTTAAGGAAGTTGTAAGGGAGGAACAGTGTTGGAAACAGAGACTGGGAACAGACAGAGGAAGAATCCTGGGAGCTCCCCTGCTTGGGGGCACAGTCTGGGGGAAAGGTGACAGCAGAAGAAGGAAGAGGAGAGGAAACCTATGTACAAATAAATTACAGCTCTCCTCTCATTTTCCTTTCCCTTCCTAGCATCTGAATAATCCAGTTCCTCATTAAGCACTGGGTGCTTTGGGAAGCTTTGGGAAAAGGCCCCTGCCCAGCCATGTCTCCCTTCTCTCCCTCCTGGCCCACCTTGGGGTCGCCCTCACCCTGGCTTCCAGTTTCATGATCGTGCGCTTCCCTCCCTTCAGAGCCAGCTGCTCAGCCTCCTCCATCTTGGCCTGCAAGTCTTTGATGGTGATCTCGTAGTTCTTCTTGATTTTCTCCAGGTGCATGCAGTGGTCCTGCTCTTGCCGGAGCTCCTCCGCCATGCGGGCGGCCTGCCGGAGGGGAGCAGAGTGGGGACTGGAGCTGGGTTCCCATGCTATTGAGAGATGAGGGACCTTGGCCTCTGGAGACCAGAGGACCAAGTGGTTGACAAGGAGAACCTTGCTGATGTGCTGCTGGGTTTTGGTGGAGCGGGTGCCCCATGCTCCTGTGTCTCTCCCAGTGACAGGGAGGAGGCAGGCTCATGCACTCACCACCAGGGCCCCCAGTCCCACAGACTCCCACCAGCTTGGGGCTCTCCAGCCACTCTTTGCTGCCTCCTCCATCAGGGGCATAGCACAGAGGGTGGGCATAGCACAGATCTGGAGGAGGAAGACGAAAGTCTTGCATGTAGCTCCTGTGTGGCCTTCAGCAAGTCACTTTACCCTCTTGTTCTTGCATTCATTCCACAAGTATTCATGGAAGATCTGCATGCTGGGTATGGGTCTGTTCTCTCAAGACCCAGCACCAAATGAGACCTGCAATGGTCCTGAGCTGGCATTTCAAGCAAGTGCAACAAGCCTGGCGATAGCATCTGTATTCCTTCATCTTTAAAGTGGGTGCATGGTATCTGCCGATCAAGGTCGTGTGAGTCCCCAAAGAGAAGTGGAGCAAGACCACTGGCAGCACGTCCTGCTGAATCTGCCCCTGAGCACCTGGGCATGGCTCCCATCTTCCTTTCACTAATGCTTCTCCTCAGGCTGCTTTAATGCTCCTCTTTGCCAAAAGACCTGCCCAGGAAAGCCCACTTTCGATGGCTTCTTTGACCCATGTCCCCAGGCCTCAAGCTCTGATCTCTCACATGGTCGTGTATAGCTTGTAATTATTCCTTACTTGTATGTGTTTGGCTTTTCAGAAAGGCCTCCAGACTCCTTAGGACAAGGACCACAGCCCTACTGGCAGGGTGCTGGCGCTGCACAGTGACCTTTGAGGGGAGGAAGTGGCCTTCCCTGCTGAGGGTGGCCTGGTCCTCCACAGGCGGCCCAGGCCGGGCCCCCCTCCCACCAGCACCAGGCAGCGTGCACACTTACATCAGTCATGGCTTTCTTGGCCCTCTCGTCGGCAGAGCGGAACTCACTGATGAGCTCCTCGTGCTCGTTGGAGATGCGCTGGACATCCGACTCCAGCTTGCGCTTGACCACGAGGAGGCTTTGGTTCTGGAAGAGAAAATAAAGACATTGCCATGAGGCAGAAGTCTGCACAGCCCTTCCTGTGTCCAGGAAAGAGAAACAACTCTCTCACAGACATACTTGCCAAACCCCCCAATAGGAAATGGCCCTGGACCCCCTGCTTGAGGTAAGCGTCTCTCCCTGCATTTTTCTCTGTGTTTTAGAGCAGAACATGTATCACAAGGAGTCCAGGAATAACGTCATTTTGGCCTGGGATGGGTGGGAACTCTAGAACAATCCTGAACTCAGAGCTGGGAAAACCCAGGTTCAACCCTGGTACTTCTACCTATGTGGATAAATTCTTTACCTCTAGGCTTCGGTCTTATTTCTAAAATGGGGTTGTGATCCCTATATGTCCCATGCACATTTTTTCTTTTGGTGAATTCACATGAGATGCTAAGTAGGAATTAAGTTTGTGCTGGCAAAGTATTGCACTGTAAGCAGTATTGGTGTTACCGCTGGTAGATAAGGGTCCCCTTTTTTGACCACACATAAGCCACTCAACTCTCTGGGTCATGGTTTTTCATTTGTAAAATGAATGTCAGACTTTGTTTTTATTTACTGATTTTTTTTTTTTTAAGTAGGCTCCATGCCCAGCAGGGAGCCCAGTGCATGGCTTGAACTCACAACTCCGAGATCAAGACCTGACTGGAGATTAAGAGTCAGGCTTAATTTAACTGACTGAGCCACCCAGGTGCTCCTAGACTTTGGAATATTCTAGATCCCTTCTAGTTCTGAAGTTCTATCCTCAGTGACACTGAAGGTAATGGCAGTCCTTAAAATTGGCTAAATCATCAGAATCTCCTGAGGAGTTTAGATCCAAAAGTTTAAATTTCTGGAGTCCCGCCACAGACCAGATTCTGGATCACAGTCTCCAAGGGAGAGAGTCTAGGAGCCTGTCTTTGAAAGCTCTGCACAACAATGTGCATGTAGTTCACACACTGTGTGTGCACTAAAAATGGTTAAGAATGGTACATTTTATGTTACGGGGGTTTTTGCCATAACAAAAGAAGTCTCTGCAGGTGAGTTCTGAGGATTTCCCAAGTGGGGACACCATCTGCCTTTGAGTTTTGAGGGGAGCCCACAGGGTTTGGGCACCATCCTGGCCCTGCCCCCACACGCCAAGTGTGAGTCTGCATAGACGCCCCCCCCACTCCCAGGAAGCCGCCATCCTACCTGGATGTTGACCTCGTTGTGCCGCTCGGTGATCTCTACCACCTCCTGCTCCAGCAGCTTGCGGGAGCGCTCGCTGCCCTCCAGGCCCGCGCGCACCTCCTCCAGCTCCGTCTGCAGCAGGCTCAGGCGCCGCTCCTGCAGGTTGTACTGCTCCCGCAGCTCCTCGTGCTGTCGGGCATCCTCGTCCATCTGCATCTGCAGGTCCTGGGGGTGGCCAGAGGACCCGGCCTGAGCCCATCTCCCGGACCCTGGCATGGTCTGGGCTCAGCAGGGAGCTGGGGTCTGGCTGGGGAGTTCGAGGCCACAGAGGAGGAGAGTGGAAGGTATCGATCTGCGCTGGGGGAGTTCCTAGTCTGGTTGCGGCCTAGCTGGCCAGGGCCCAAGTGCCCCCAGAATTTGTCCAGTGAGAGGTAACCATAAGGTCAAGGCTTTTCTGAGGACAGAGCACCTTGAGTCTCCAGCAGGCCCTTCTCACCGAGGCCTTCCTCAGTGATCTTGACCATTACACCCCCACTGGCTAACCCACATCTCCCTTCTCCTATCTGGTTGTTTCTCTGTAGCACGTATCGCCGTTTTTAATACTACAGTTTTATTTATGTGTTGTTTATTGTCTATCTTCAGGGATGTCTGTTTATTATATACATTCTTGTACCCCTAGCACCTAATACAGTGCCTACGCTGGGCAGGTCTCTAATAAAATGTATGTTGAATGCATGGATCCAGCTACAGATGCTTTAAAGACCAATGATAGCAATAAAGGAAGACTTCAATTCTATTTGTGTTTTTTTCTTAAGATGAGTGGTGGGCATCTAAGTATTTACTATGTTCTTTATTTTTCTGTCCTGAATTCACTTATAATAAGTCAAATGACTTTAGGAACCAAGACAGGCCCAACTTTCTGTTTTCCTTCTTTCTTCCCTCTTTTTAGTGGTCCAGGGTATGGACTTAGGTGGTTGGGGCGTCTCATATAGATAGTCCCCAAGTGTCCTGCTCCCTAGACTTCCAGCCACCCCATGCTGCCACTTCCATGCTTTTCTCCTAGCTGCAGACATGCATGAAGTTAGCTTCCTGGACCTGCAAGCTTGGGGATGGCTTACTTTGTGATTAGGTCCCAGATTGCTACCTTGATTTGCTGTTGCAGCCTTTTCAGGGTCTTTACAAGTTCGCTGTTGTTCTTGTTGGCATGGTCCAGCTGGATTTCCATCTCATTCAGGTCCGTCTCCATCTTCTTCTTGAGCCGAAGTGCCTCTGCCCGGCCCTTGGCCTCTGCCTCCAGGCTGGCCTGCAAGGACTCGATTGCCCGCTGGTGGTTCTTCCTGCACGTGCAATCAGAGAAGACCCTGGCATACTGGGCCCGCTGGTCAGGCTGTGCTAAACCTCCCTAGTTAAGAGGTCTGTGAGCATCAACATGCATATGGCCACCATATTTGAAATTAGAGTGTATCTTCCCTTAAAGCATTTAAGTGGGCTTTGGGAAAGGACACAGAAGGTCAATGTTTACCTCATATCTTTTGTGATCTCAATTCATTCAACATGCAGAATAGCCCTGCAAGGAAACTGAGGCTCCAAGATGATGAAAAACATGCCAAAGGTTTAGCCCATGACAGAGACAGGATTCAAACCCAAATGCTAGCTGTTTTGTTTTTGTTTTTTTAATTAGAAAATGTGAGCTTTGGCTATACAAGCCAAAGCTTGTCTCTCTGTAAAACAGCAGTTATTGGTTGATTGTATTTAATATATTTAGTTATATTGTAATCAGTATAGTGAGCATTTTCATAAAACCCTCCATAGAAGGAGACTAGAGGAGGCAATTTACATGTTCAAAAAATATTTGTTTCATTGAGGGAAATAAATGGCTAGCATGAAAAGATCCTGTCACCTGCCCCTTGTCTGTGGTGTTCACCTCTGCTCTACCCCTGCACACCTTCTATTGTGTAGGCACATTGCTGGATTTATAGCACTCTGAGATGTATTCAATTTCTAGACATGGGAGAAGGTATCATGACATTCTCAAAAGTGAACAGAATTTTTATTCAATTTGACTTAAAAAATAAATACAAGAAAAAAACTATAAAACGTTGAAAAAAATAAAGGTCTAAATAAATGGAAGGACATTCATGTTCATGGATTGGAAGACATAATGTTGTGAAGGTGGAATTCGGTGCAGTCAGTATCAAAATGCCAGCTGATTTCTTTGCAGAAATTAACAGGCTGATCCTAAAATTTATATAGAAATGCAAGGGACCCAGAATAACCAAAATAATCTAGAAAAAGAACACCAAGGTGGAGGACTCACACTTCCCAATTTCAAAGCCACAGTAATCAAGACATTGTGGTCATGGCATAAGGATAGACTTTTAGATGAATGGAATAGAATTGGGAATCCAGAAATAAACCCAAGCCAATTCATTTTCAACAAGATGCTAAGACCATTCAATAGGGAGAGAGCAGTCTTTCCAGAAAGTAGTTCTGGGACAACTGGATATCCACATGCAAAAGAATGAAGTTGGACCCCTACCTCATACCTTATACAAAAATTAACTCAAAATGGACCGAAGACCTAAATGTAAGAGCTAAAACTGTAAAACTCTGATCTCATCTAGGAAAAATAGGCAAGAATCTTTGTGACTAAATTAGGGAAAGAGTTTTTTACATATGACACCTAAAATACAGGCTACCAAAGAAAAAAACAGATACATGGACTTCATCAAATTTAAAAACATTTGTGCTTCAGAGGGTATTATTAAGAAACTGAAAAGGCAACTCACAGAATGGGTGAAAATATTTGCAAATTACATATCTGATAAAGGATGGGTCTAGTATTCAGAATATTTAAAGAACTCTTACAACTCAACAGTAGAAAGACAACCTAGTTTTTAAAATGGGCCAAGGATTAGAATAGACATTTTTCCAGGCAATATAGAGAAGTGGCCAATAAGCACATCAAAGATGCTTAGCAGGAGCAGCTGGGTGGCTCAGTTGGTTAAGCATCCAACTCTTGATTTCAGCTCAGGTCACGATCTGATGGTTCGTAGGTTTGAGCCCTGCATCAGGCTCTGTGCTGATGCGTGCTCTCTCTTTCTCTCTCAAAGAAACTTAAAAAAAAAAAACAACTTAAAAAGGTGCTCAGCATCATTAGCTATAATGGAAATACAGTTCTAAACCACAGTGAGATACTACCTCCCATACACTAGGTTGGCTAGGATAAAAAAAGGTAATGATAAAATGTTAGAGAAGATCTGGAGACCCTACAGCCCTTATAACCCTGAGAATGTAAAATAGTACAACTGCTTTGGAGAAGAATCTGACCATTCTGCAAAAAGTTAAACACAGGGTGAACATATTACTGGAACTTCTAGTCCTAGGTACATACCCAAGAGAAATGTAAACCTCTATCTACACAAAAACTTGTATATGGATGCTCATAGTGGCGTTATCCATAGTGGCCAAAAGGTGAAAACAACCCAAATGTCCATCAACTGATGAATAGATGAATAGATAAATAGATAAAATAGATAAACAAAATGGGATCTGTCCAAACTATGGCATAGTATTCAGGAATAAAAAGGAAGGAAATACTTACACTTGCTCCAACATGGATGAAGCTTGAAAACATGATGCCAAGTGAAAGAAGCCAGTCACAAAGGACCACATATTGTAGGATTCCATTTATATGGGATGTCCAGGATAGGCAAATCCAGAGAAAGTTGTTGGCTAGATTAGTTGTTGCCTAGGTCTGGGAGTGGGGGTGGTGGGGAGAAATGGGGCAACACTGCAAAAGGATATGGGGTTTCTTTGGGGGAGTGATGAAAATGTTCTAAAATTGCAGTGATAATTGCACAACTGAAAACCATTGAATTTTTCCCTTGTCATGGGCAAACTATGTAAATTATATCTCCAATCTGTTGCAAACTCTCTCTCCTCCCCTCCCCCGCCACGCCACATAGTGGC